TTACCAAACTTTATCAGAAGTTGTATTTTGGTGTATCGATGAACATATTACAATATGGGCTGATTTGAGGTATACGAACATATTTTTTTTTTGACATTTATGTCCTATTACACCATACTTTCTATTTCAAGGGGTTTTGAGTTTATTAATGTCTCATCTGAGTACAGATTTGAATTCTACATCAAATTTTACATAAAAAAACATGGTTTAAAAATTTTTTCTTATGTCCCCCCAGAAAAGCAGAGTAAGAAGCAGAATATCCTCATACCATGAAAATCCAACTTTGAGCCCCTGTAGATCCATAAGGGTTGGACCTAGGGGGCTGTGCCCTTCAGGATTTTCATTTTTCATTGTGTTCTTGAAGAGTAAATGGTTACTTTCAACTTCATTTTTTGGGCTTGCAACACCTGTTGTGGAATAGCCCATATATGGTACATGTGTATGTGTGCACGTACTTTACGGATATATTCGCGCAGCAGACGCGCGACCTCTTATAATGCAGGCTAGACGGAGTTAAGACCCCGCGCGTGGAGAGTCTTATTTTTAGCCTCTCTCTCTCTCTCTCGCGGAGTTAATAATAATATTTTAACGACACATCGATTTAGCTCTCCGCTTGCTCGCACTCGTTTTCTATATAACGATAATCGCTTTATATATACAACTGCGAACCTCGTAAAATACCTGTGTGTGCCTGCGTTGTATATTGTATATTTCATGCACTGCTCGACAAGGCACGAGCTGCCGATCGTCGTCGATTCGTCGAGCTCGCGTTATATTTCATTTGTGTTTCTCCTGTAATCGTTGATATACGATATATTCTGGACGCAGCTTATTGTGGAAAAAAAAAATGTTTTTTTTTTGACGCTTCAGGTGTTTCCAAAGTTTGATCGTAAACATTATGACCGAGGTGTCATGACTCTGAGCTGTCTTCGCAAAAATACCGCTCACGCGCGCGCGCGCGTTTCAATGACTTTTCGAAAAAGTACACACGAAAAAAATGCCGCGCACTAAGCCCCTGTCGTCGCGACGCTCGAAATAAATAAATAAAAAAATGTACGCTACCGTCTACCTAAAAATTAACGATGCAGTCATATTATCGAGACAACAGATGCAGCTTAAAAAGCTCCGGTTATTCCCCAAGCTGCTGTAGCTATCACACGCACGCATATATAACGAGCCTTAATAACGTGCCAATAATAACGCTCATTGTACAAATCGTTAAATTTGTACGTCCGCGCGCAGCGCAATAATATATGGGTAAATACCTCCGAAAGTCTGCGCCGCGACTTTCTAAATCTTTATATACTTGGCGTTGAGGCGAAAAGCAGGCCGCGCCGCGCGTTGTAGAATTTTTTTGCGCGAGTCCGCGTATATTTATACGTCGCGAGTATGGTGCGTATAATCCGCGTATACGCGTGCTGTATAGCAGTAGTAGTATAGAGATTACATTGCCTTCGAGGCATTTAAAAATAAGAAAGAGAAACGGAGTATATAGCGCCTAAAGAGATGGAATTTCAAGGTATGCCCGTGGCCGCGCGCGCGGAGAAAGGAGTAAATATTTTCGTATTATATCGATATATTCGGTGTATTAACGTATACGCGTCGAAATTATATCCGTACACCCCTCCACACACGCAGAGAGAGAGAGAAAGACTCGATTTGTTTAAAGAAACAATCAAAATCAAGGTTTCGATCCTCGCGGGCGCTTTATTGAAAAATAATTTCGTTCTCGCCGCGCGGTTCGTATAACATACGAGAGCGAGAGAAATTTTTGGCATATTTCGCTGATAATAAATTGTATATACACACACGTGCTCTCTCACGTACGTGCACACCTTTGATATTCATAAAACTCCGCTGCTGCTGCTGCATGTATAGCACATATCTGCATATATATAGTTGCTACACGACGTCGACGTCGTGGCCGCGCGTATTCGTACACAAGGCCAAGGTCGTTCGGTTTAACGAATGGCCAACAACAGGTACATATCGCAGTGGTGTGTGCTGCAGTAGTCGCTACCGTTCGCTCTGCATATTATAAACGTATACGAGGCTTTGGCTCTTTCATCATTATTGTTATTATTTATCTTCTTCTTTTTATTTTCCCTCCTTTTTATGCTGTGCTGCATGCACAGCGTAAAGCTCGCTCGCTCTCGTTCCTCTCTCCGATAGTAACGATTTTTTCGTCTTGCGCAATATTTTCTCACGGGCTCCGATAATATTGGAAATTGGTGCATACGTACCCTACTTACGCGATACGTATACGGCAGCGGCATCGGCAGCCTTTTCACTTTTCAAAGTGTATATTACAAGAATGAATGGGTGTATACTATACGTTCGGTGCGGTGCAGTGAGCAGAGCACACGCGATATCTCTGCGTTAATGTATAATGCGCGCGGCACATACATGCTCGCGGGCGAACGATCGCGAGCGATCAGCGATGATTCATTTCGCGGATACATACGCATATCGGCGACGGTTTCAGCGAAAAACTCTTTTCTGCGCATCGATGACGAGCTCTCCGCGCGGCCCGAGACAATCATTACTTATTCTCGAAGATATATGCGCGTGCACATGCATCATAATGAAAAACCTTACATGATTAATGCCGCATTATTATACATAAAGCTGCCGAGCGAGAGATGAAAAAAAAGAAGAAGTGAATTGTGAAAAATATCCGCGCGGATATGCGTGGACGTAGATAAATGTAAAAAAAAATTGATAGGAGAAACAAAACGATACGAAAGAGTTCATAAAACAAGGACGGGCGTGATATACACACATCACATCGTGGCATATGTAGTGCAATCGAACGTTATACAATTCAAGAGTCGACCGCGCACACACTAGACTACCTGCAATACGCACGACATTTTTCGATCTCGATATATAGAACGCACTCGACGACGACGACGACGACGACTACTATACGTTTTGTTATGTACACGTAATGTTCGTATTGTTTTCTATACATTTTCATTACGCGCGCGCGCGCGGAATCGGTTGCGTCGACTTGGCATAATAATTATTTAGCGCAACGTCGTATGTAATACGCGTAATATATATAACGCAGCGTGCGACCGATTTAATTTTTTTTTTTTTCAATCATTGCTGAGAGCGAGCGTCAGTGTCTTTATATATAAGTTCATACATTTTTTTTGTCCCTGCAATATATGTGACATAAAGCGATCGGACGGTGGGAAATGAAAATAAAAAGTTGCACGCAAAATTCAATCTTTATCGTAATACACATGTATAGTCGTGGAGAGCCCGATAATCGGCACATCGTACGGGAATTTCAATTGTTTACGCTGAATAAACAACGAGAGCTTTGTGCAAAATCGACCACGACGCAGCGCGTTTTATATTCGGAATACTCGACGACGAGCGTCACTCCCACAATAACGGAGCGCGAGTGTCAAGCGTTTTTTTTTTTTTTTTTTTATTTTGATTTTCGTTCGCGTGCAGCGACATGTATTATTGACAGCGCGTGTGCGATCTCTTCTTCCGCCAATACATATCCCAGCTCGTACACAGGGGGGGTAATCGTAAATCGCATTTACACGCGGCTCTGCCATTTATCAAATTTAAAAAACCGAAAAAAATTGAGTACAAATTTTTTCCATTTAAAAGTCGGCCATGTGCGTGTACCGTATTACGTCAAAATGTCTTTACTGCCTGCTATAATGCACACAGTCTCCGCGCCGTGCAGGAAAGAAGTAAACGAAAAAATTCGTTCGCTACACGAATTTTCTACGACACATTTACAAAGGCGCGTGTATAATACGTATAAAGGATGGAGCAGCAGCAACAGACATTTGCACTAGTATAGTACGAGCAGTGGAAAAAGAAAGAGAGAATCATTCGCGTGAATCAGTGTATCAGCCGGAAGTCCGGCCCACGAGTTCCTGCGACGCGACTCGTCACTCTTGGCTTCCCTCATTTTTCTCTCTCTCTTTCTCTTTCTCTCTACTTTTTTTCGTATTTATACTCGCGATATACACGCGCAGCAGTGGTCGTGCGCGCATGACTATACCATCGTATATTATACGCGCATACATACAGCATTAGCAGTGTTATAATACGCCTGTTGGGGGGGAAGAGAGGGGAGCTATCCTACAAAAAAAAATAAAAACACAACATAACGACACTTTTCTTCGTGTTCGTTACAAAAAACAGGAGCTCGCAATATTTTTGTGAGCGCGCGCGCTGACAACCGCGAAGAGACGAATTCCATTCGCCCCGCCGTACGCAGTTGTGGCTGGCGGACCGAGAGTTGCGATATTAGTTTTGACATCGCATCGCCGGCGCACGCGCAAAAAAAGAGAGCAAGAAGTAAACGTGTATATACGTATTTCTCGTTAAAACTGTATTATCTCGTTGGCACATATTTATACGGTTGAAAAAAAAAAGATCCGATGCGAGAGACAGACGGAGAAAAAGAGGCAAGAAGTATGACATTTTTCGTGAAAAACAGACCTCTCGACGACTCCGACTCGACGACGACTACGACGTGTCAATGGGTTCCATCGTTTGATAAATGCATCTCTCTCGTTACACTTGAGTTGTCGCGCTGCCGCGCGCACATACAGACACTCGTTATCGTATAGACTATACGCGTTTTTTTTTTTTTTTTATTCTCTCAAATCGAAAAATTGTCTGTTGATTTATGATAAGGATTTCCTTTGTCAAATCCTTTTCCCCGCGCAGTTATTTATAGATAGGCGCGCGTACCGTGCGAATGATTCTCTCGTGTGATTTGGAGAGAGGAAATTGAACCATTTCAAGCTTGAATTTTTTTGCTGATACGTCCCTTTTCTTATAGTTATAAAACAATTCGATTTTTTTTTATTATAACGATTCAGTTAAACGAAACGTTTAACGTATTATGCAAATATATAGATGTTTATCCTGTTAAAAAAAGTATATTATCTTTCGATGCTTCGAAAAAAGGAACAAGGAGTATTTTACGATGTTGTTGTTTTTTCTGTCTCGCACAGATCGACTATCCGGAAGTACACAGCGGCAGAATGCATCGACCTCCGCAGGCTCATCCTATCAGCGACCATCGACAAGTCAACTTGGTCTTCGAGGATACGGTAAGTCGAGCTCTTTCTCTTTCTCTGCGGACGAGGCGCTTTTATCCTCTCTGGCTTGCAGTGCAAGACTGACTCCGTATGTGCGCGAGTGTGTGTTTGTCTACTTACGTGGCATTTCTGCAGTGTGAGCCAAATCTCCCTGGCAGCCCAGGATAATGAATCAGTTTGTATCTATTGGACCGGGGATTGCTTTCGGGTTCCGTACGAGACGCCGCGCTGCTTCTCTTAATCCCCCCGGGAGAGAGAGCGAGAGAAGGACCGACTGATTTTTCGCTGCGGTCTGCGAAAAACCATCCAACGAGTATAAGAACAAAACAGAAACGAAAAATACAAAAATCTCCGTCCAATTTCACGTTTTATTTCTTTATATACATTTTTTTTTATTGATCAGCTGTGCAGCAGCACGTCATTCTCTCTCTCGTGTCTTCTCTGCCCTATCTCTACACGGGCTCACTCTTTTCGCATGAGCGCGTTTTTCTTGGCGATGTGCATCCAAGCTCGCCCCGATGGAGTTTGGCTTTTTTCTTCTCGCTTCTTCTTTTTTTTTTTCGTTATATATACTTGAATATTTTACATATTTCTTTGCACTTGACTCTCGTTACCTGTCCGCTCGAATTTCACCTTACTCGGAGCTGATACTCAATACATATTACATAGCAGAGAGAGAGAGAGAGAGTTCAATATTCCGAGAGGGTTCGCTATCACCTGCACACCTTAGCTCGTGATTCCCTTGATACATCAGAGCCCGTGTTATTGAGACGCAGCTGCGCATCTATATATATACGCGCACACCTTAGATACAAAAACCTGAAAACCTATAATGTACGTACGTATTAGCTGAGCGTCTAAAACGTGCGCGCGAGCTTGAGAAAAACACGTTACGTGCGTTTCAGTGTTGGTCGCTTATAAAGACTTTTTCCAAAGATTATGCAAATGGGTGTATTACAATTTAATTTTTTAATCTCCAGCTCTCCGAGATATGGTATTATAACAAGTTTATTTTGAGCGTGTGTGTTTGTGTGTGCCTGTGTACATCGTTCGGATAATGTATAAAAGAAAATCAACAACTTATTACTTATATATAAACCTACTTCGTTGGCCGGTCCACGGCGATGATGATGTCCTTGCAATCGAACACCGCATCTTCAACGGAGCGTAAAGTTGTTTCGCTTGCAAAATCCATATACCCTGCCTCGTATATGTATACTCTGCGGTCATGAGCGTTTAAAGAGAATATATTGAGTAAATGCGTGCGATTAAGCGTTAGGTAACTCTTCGCGCCCCATCCACTCTGATTAATATTCATATGAGATATATATTGAAAGGTACAAAAAAAAAGAAATCATAGTTATATATATTCCATAAGCGAGAAAAAAAAATTATGCAATCACTTGTTTCGTGGAGAATGCGTAAAGATCAAAATAAAAAAAAAATGTTGGCAATGAAATTACCAGAAACGTTGAACTCTCTTAGTCACGATGATCGTTTGATCGAAAAACGAAGAGGAAAAATTAAAGAAGAAGGAACAATAATGATAACAGCAACGGTATAATAGGTACTATAAAGACCGGAAAGTGCGTTGAGGGGGCCACATATCGTCGTATATACGTATACAGTGTTCCGCGCTCGTGCCTCGACCCATAAGCCCTGACAGGCATGGCAAAGGCAAAACGGATGCCACAGCGCACCTTCCTATGTATAAGAAGTCACAGGTGCGCGCGCTCTTTACGATGCTCGGTGCATCTCTTTTCAGCCGGTACACACACACACACGGACGGACATATAAGTATTATATTATAAATGATATATGGGCGTAATATGCGGCACGCAGCACACATAACGGAGCGCCCCATCCCATACAAAATAATATTACGTATATATATTTTGTCCGTGTGCGTCCGCATGATTCGATGTTTTTCTTCTTTGCCCGAGCGGACGTAATGTACGTTTGAGCTTATTGATCTGGCAATACAAATGAAATCGTAATATGTATGTTACATCGAATTAAAACGTCACACTCAGAAACGCGAGCGCGTGTTGAAACGATAAAGATTCGGAGTAGATAGGTATAAATGAGGTGCAGAGAGACATATATACTATATACGACTTGCGTGTTTTCGTACATTTATGTTTACATATTACGAAGCCGCGAGAGGGCTAACGAAAAAGAAAGAAAGAGACAGAGAAAAGTGATATCGATTTTTATATTTATATTCCATTTTCAATACAGATTTTCTCCGAGCCGTATGTATACGCGTATAGGCTCTGTCGATTATGAGCGCAATCACTTGCATCAATCTCCACGTGTATATATACCTGCTTGTAAGTGTCGCTGAAACGTGAGATAATGTTCGTGCCTTAGATAAATACTCTTATTCATAAATAAATTCCCTCTTTGCATATCTCAACGTTATACAGGTATATCGTATGTAATATAGTTGTATAGACCACACGCAAAAAATCGATACTACGTAATACACGCATGCAGCAGCAGTCTGGGAACTCATCAAAATTCAACGACACACAAAATGCAAACAGCGATAAAAAAATAGAGAAAGACACGCCTGCGTAAATGTGAGAGAGCTTTTACGATGGCTGCTGTTGCTGCTGCTGCTAGTGCTGCTCCTTTAACGACGTCTATTCCGCCGGTTTGACTCCAAGAGAGATAGATATACTACATATAATATGCGCGCACGCACTCGTGCATCTTATCATACGCGTGTTTTCGCTCTTCTTTTTCATATATTACACTTCCTTACCTTCGTCTTCGTGGCTCGAGCTCTCGGCTCTTAATCTCCGTCTTAATTTTCTTCGTCTCCACTTCGGCGTCGTCTTCCGCATATTCGACATTGTTGACTTTGTATGTATGACGTTTCGCGTCTCGTCGGGCCGGGGAGTTTGTTATTAATGCTCGTCGCAGTGTAAAATTAATAATTGCGCTCGGCTCGGCTCAGCTCGTCGTCGTCGTCGTCTCTCGCGAGCGAGCTAGCTATGCGTGCAGCGCGCAGACACCCAAGGTAAAGGATATATAATGTGCGCGCCGCGCCGTGTGAGTTATATTAAAATGACGTTCTATTATCAACTTGTTTATGAAAAAATTTTTTGAATTTTTAATGCGCGTATTATATACCCTTCGGGCGTTTCGTATTAATACAATATTATACGCGCGAGTGCGAAGGTCTCCTCTGATGAAGCTCAGCAGCAGCAGCGGCAGCGGCGGCAGCTGCTAATTGATTATCCTTTTTTCGTTTCGCTTGCAATTTTATTTTTTTTTTTTGTAATCCGAGGCAGAAGAGACAATTTTAATTATGCTAAATTTTTTATTCAGCCTCCACCGGTGTATCATTACATTACCGAAAAAACTAATTATTCAGTCTCGATGTTATTATAAGTGCGGATCAAATTGGCTATATAGCCGCCCAATGACATCCGAATGAGTCAGAAAAGATGATATATCGACGTATCGTCCATTACAAACAAAAAGGCTGTGAACGGCAAAAAAGAAGAAGCAGAAAAAGAACGCTAAGAAAATACATTAGTCCGTGACACGTCGTTAGATTAATTCATCACGCGAAGAACAACAAATAATTCGATGCGATGTTTATTTTTAGAAATATACTTGTTCTTCTTAAATACCTTTAAATTTTCACGCCCACATTCGTTGCACGAGGCAAAACGCCGTATTGTTCGCGTATTTCTTCTCTTTTTTTTTTACGCATTTCCAAGGAACTAGTTGTTTTTCCTGCTTTTTCTCGAAACTCCATAGTGCATACTATACAGTCTTTAAAACGTCACTCTACGCTAGACCGCTTGTTTTTGCTCGCGCATAGAGCACGAACGAAAGTCAAGTGTATCTATTTCTTACAGAAATGGAACGTAACAAAAAAAAGAACCGAACGAGCTTTTATATTCTCCATCGCTTTCAAACTTTTTCGTTTTGGCATTCACAAACGTGATCCTGCTATATAAGTTTCAACGTATTCAAATATAAAAAAAATTTTTTTTACGCACAGCGAAGGGTGCTCACAAAGTCTCGAGATCGCGCAACAACACACAATACGCGCCCAAACGACGTACTACACGCGTAGTTTGACAAAATGATTTCACGATTTCCGCGTTCGTTTCAATTTATAATCAGCTTTAGAGCAAAAATCTGGAATTATATACGTATACACGTACCTCAGCGCGCCTTGCTGAGACTTTCGTAATCAGCGTGTACTTGATATTTACAAGTGCGCGCACAGCTAGCTCGAGGTTCATTAAGAAACAAGACGTCTCTTTTCAGCCCAGCGAAAGAGAGAGAGAGAGAGAGATGCTCCGCGACTATTATATCTACGCGGCGTTGCTCGAGCTTGGGACGTCAATTAAATCTATTCGGCGTGCAATTCGCCTTGTTTTTCGTCGTGTCGCGTCTATAAACGAGAGCTATATATAACGTCGGTCGGAGTTAGGAGGCGACGGGAGTGATAAAAAAAAAGAAGGAACAAACGCATCGAAGCGTACGTCGTGTGAAAAGATGTCGGATACACGCGTATTTTTTTCCGCTCGTTACTACGATGTACAGAGGACGATTCGTGTACAATACAAAATATCGATATAATCCATCAAGATAAGTTTTATTTTATCGTGATTAAAATCATACACCATGGTGGGCTTATACTGTGTACAATAGCCATCATGACAACTATTATAATCAAACGCTGATAATAAGAGTTCAAAATAAACATTGCTCTCTTTTCGATACATAGTAGTATTGTATATATACAGTAATTGTGTCGCTGGGTTGTGAATCAATTATTACTCTCGTGATTGCCTGCCATCATATACATACCAAGAAGATATCCGCCAAGTGAATTAAAACGTCGAGTGCAATTAGTAGATCGATAATAATATAATAGTTCTTTACCTTCTGCGCTCTCACTCGCTTCTATGCGTGTATATAGCTGGAAATGCATCTCTCTCTCTCTCTCTTTCTCTATGTACACTCTTGTGCTCGGCAA